CCCTTAGCAGCCTCCCATCTAGCCCAAGCCTTACACCCAAGAGGAGAAAGGGCACAGTGATCAAGGGTCCACATACTATTTTCCTAAAGGGTCGGAGAGCCAAGGGTTCGTATTTACGGGTTGTAAGGTCTCTTTCTGGCTGCTCTATTAGATAGACCATGAAATCGGCCTGTGCGCTCAGCAGATGTTATTGGCAGGCAGTTTTGGTGGACAGGCTGGGGGTTGCCCAGCTCCCTCAGCCCCTCCCACACTCCGAGGCAATTCAGAGGAGAAGGAATCGCAAGGTTCTGTGCACACCTCGAAAGAAGCTTGCCATCTCCTACCTGGGAAATGTGAACTAAAAGGATGAATCGGTTTTCACACACCACATTTGCAGCCTTCAAAGAGTTTAAGCATTCCGAGAATGGGACAGGTTAGGAGAAAGCTGGTGCTTTCTCGGGCCCACAGTTCGATGCTGTTACTGGGAGAGGGCGGGGCGACACAGAAGAGTCTTGGAGTGGATCATTTGAGTCCGTGAGAAGCACAGACTATGTGTCTGGCACTCTTCTAAGCGCTGTACGTGAATAGTTATGCATCTTTACGACAGTCCTTGGACTGAAGTACCCACTATTGTTGCTCTCTTACAGGTGAGGGAAAGGTGCTGAGAGGTTCAGCCACTGGCCCAAAGTCATTCAGTTTGTCGGGGTCAGTGTCAGGTTTGAAACCAGGCAGTCTGCCTCCGAATTCCTTGCTTTAAACAAAAAATCTTAAAACTGAAAAAAAGGGGGGGATAATAAAGATAAAACAACAACACCTTTTCCCTCTGTGTCCTGGCAATTCGCTGCCAGTTACATTAAGGAGACACTGCGGTTCTTGAAGTGTACCAGGGCATATGCATAAGGATGTCGGTGATGGGAAAATCTAGGAACACCCTAAATGGATGAACGCACCGTGGCACATGCATCCAGTAGACCAAACTGTGGCAGTGCAAAGGAGAATGCATCAGGCCGTGTTCACAGATTTCAAAAACATCCTCCTGACTGCATACTGCAAATTGCAGAGTGATGGAGTTTGATAGATCATACACACACAAATCAATCTTAGCTAATATTTGAGAATTCATATAGGTGTATGTATAGGTATATTTTCAAGGTCTAGAAAGAGCACAACAAATAGCTGTTGGTGGTGGTGGCAGTGGATGTGGATCACCAGGTGTCTGTCAAGTTTTCCTGTAACTGCTGTTTCCCAGATTCCCTGAGAGGAGCAGTACTGATATCTTTGGTTTCTAGAAGGCCTTCGAGTGTTAGAATTTCCGTTTGCACCCACCCGCTACTCCAACAGCCCTCCATCCCTTCCATCCCTTCCTTCCTCTCTTTCCCATTCATACTCCTCTGTCTTCAGTCACCTCTCCCTCCTACATCCTGCTCTGGCAGACCTCCTGGAGAGGCCTGGGGTGTCTGAACCACTCTTGCCTGCAGAACTCAAAGGACTGATTTCTCTGGGTCTGCACCTGGGCTCTGACTGTGCTGAGGAAGGATACAGAGCAGGGGAGGTTGGGTGCCCTGTAAATCTGCAATCCTCCTCCTCATGCGTGCCCCCCATCGTCCCTGCCTGTGTGTGGTTGCTGATGTCTCCCACTTCTCCCAGGGACATTTAAAGACATGCTAAAATGGATAAGGAAGGATATAGTGATATATTCTGCACCTATCACCATTATAGCAAATGTTACCAGTAGATCCAGTGGCATCCCTCTCACCATTTCCATTCCCTCCCTCCCTCTGTCTCTCCCTTCCACCCCCATAGAGAGAATCCTAGAACTTCTTCCCACCTTCTACACTCTCTTCATCTGGGCATCTCTCCTACCTCCTCTTCCCCTGCATCCCATAGGTCT